TTTCCATCATTGATGGCATTGTGCTTTGAGGGGTTCAGCACCACAGTCTCAGCAGTGTTTGGCCGTGGTCAATAAGCGCGTGTTGCGCATGTTGCACCATCACTCGGCCATCACTCGATTCGCTGGTGGGAGAGGGAGAAGGGTGGTGCTTGTGTTGGGTGCTATTGTAGTTGTAGCCAAATATGTTCGGCAAAGACGGGCCACTGATACGAGACGTGAAGAGTATGATGGATTGATGCTCCTTTGGTCTTCTTTTTGATCATGCTTGCCATGAAACATACCACAGACACCTTTCTTGACACTCTACCTTGACCTCGAGAACGCTCTTCTCTACACTCAGACCCTATCCGATCTATGTAGAAGGATGGTAATCACCGTCACCATGAAGTGGCTGGGACATCTTCTGCCTTTGACCAACCCAGTCCCAGCATCGCCGGCATGCCTCTTGCTTCCGCTCGCTCGTTGGGGAGGCCGAGGTGATAGAGGGGAAGCTCGTGCGAGTAGCAAGGAAGGTGCAGGGCGTAGGATTGAACTGTTGAACCGCTTCGTAGCATCACCACAAGAGTAGAATATGGCCAAGCCCAGGTTATAGTACTTGTCTAGAATGTAAGGGTAAGGGTCTTGGATGTCTGCACAAGGCCTCGGGGTGTAAAGAGCTTGGAACGAGGCACGAAGGTGTCGGAGTGCGAAGATGAAAGGACGAAGCAGGCTGCGGACGGCGACATGAGGAGGATTGTCGCCACGAGTGGCTTCACAGAAATCTTTGTCACGTGCCGAATGTGGTCTTGGCCTTGCGCCCCACCGTAAAGCTAACGGTCTGTGGCTCACCGTACGAGCTTCGCGGCCTCGCGGCTTCGCGGCTTGTGGCTGTGCGCGGTAGCGCTACTGTCACGTGCAACCAGTGTGATGAGGCTCCCTTCCCGCGCCCTCCACTCACACTCGCACCCGCAGCTTTCCATTCGAAATCGTGCTGCCTGTGTGACATAGCATTGCAGGGATAGATCCACTCATTTGCTCTCTCGTTTCCCATACATATACTTATCCGCGCAATCCGTCAGGCTGGCGTACTTCGTACCACCCAGCTACGACGCGGCTGGGAGAAGGCGTTCCGGTGCGAGAGGTGCCATTTATGACGGCTTTGGCCAGACCCAACACGCTGACGACTATCCTCCTCCTACTCCCTCCTCGTCTTCCCAGATGGCCTACCCTGCGCTTGCCACCGGCACCGGTCGTAACATCGACATGGCGAAGACCGAGTCTGATCTGGCCATCAACATCCGCAAAGCTACCAGCATCGAGGAGACGGCGCCCAAGAGGAAACATGTCAGATCGTGCATCGTCTACACCTGGGACCACCGCTCGTCCTTGTCCTTTTGGGCGGGCATGAAGGGTAAGCTCGCCGTCTGCGAGCCGGCTGTCACGTGCTGACGCAGAAACAGTGCAGCCGGTCATGGCCGACGAGGTGCAGACATTCAAGGCTCTCATCACCATCCACAAGGTGCTGCAGGAAGGCCACCCCGTCACGGTCAAAGAGGCGCAGCAGAACGTCAACTGGATTGAGAGCCTGGCCCGCGGCGCCATGGGCGAAGGGCTGCGAGGATACGGCCCGCTCATTCGAGAATACGTCTTCTTCCTGCTGGCCAAGCTGGGCTTCCACCGCAACCACCCGGAGTTTAACGGCCTCTTCGAGTACGAAGAGTACATCAGCCTGAAATCCATCAACGACCCTAACGAAGGCTACGAGACCATTTCCGACCTGATGACTCTGCAGGACCAGATCGACACCTTCCAGAAACTCATCTTCTCCCACTTTCGCGGCGGCGCGAACAACGAGTGCAGGATTGCGGCATTAGTGCCACTGGTTCAGGAAAGCTATGGCATCTATAAGTTCATCACGAGCATGCTGCGAGCCATGCATACCACCACTGGCGACGACGAAGCCCTGGAACCGCTGCGCACTAGGTACGATGGCCAGCACTATCGTCTCGTCAAGTTCTACTACGAGTGTTCCAACCTCCGCTATCTCACGTCGCTCATCACGGTGCCGAAACTGCCTCAAGACCCTCCCAGCCTCCTCGCCGAAGACGACGAGAAACCTGCCCTGCCGAGACGGCCAGCGAAAGAAATCGAGAAGCCTCCGTCTCCCGTCGCGAAGAACGGCACCCCGGACAATCAGAAGGACATTGAAGACTTCTGGACAAAAGAAGCGCAGAGGCAACAACAAGAGTATGAAGCAGAACAGCGCCGGCTGCAACAACAGTGGGAAGACCAACAGCGACAGCAGTTGGCTGCACAACAAGACGCGCAGCGTCAGTTTGAAGAGCAGCAGAGGTTGCAGGCGGAGCAGCAGCGTCTGGCCCAAGAACAGCTTCTCCGAGACCAATATGCAGCTCAGACACAAGGCCGCCTGGCGGAGCTTGAGCGGGAGAACCTCAATGCGCGGGCACAGTACGAAAGGGATCAACTGATGCTGCAGCAATATGATCATAGAATGAAGGCTCTCGAGGAACAGCTACAACAGCTCAACAACAACTACCAGCTACAGTCACAGTCCAAAGATGATCAGATCACGTCTTTACAAGAACAGGTCAACACGTGGCGATCCAAGTATGAGGCATTGGCCAAGTTGTATTCTCAGCTCAGACAGGAACATCTGGACCTGCTGCAAACCACCAAATCCCTCAAGTTGAAGGCGGCGTCGGCCCAAGAGGCCATCGAACGGCGAGAACGACTCGAACGGGAGATGAAGACCAAGAACCTCGAGTTGGCCGACATGATCCGAGAACGCGATCGGGCTCTGCATGAGAAAGACCGCGTCCAAGGTTCGAACCGTGAAGAAGTGGAGAAACTGAAGCGCGAGCTCAGACTCGCTCTCGACCGAGCCGAGGATGCCGAGAGAGCAAAGGGATCCGAAATCTCCTCCCTGTTGGCCAAGTACAACCGGGAGATGGCTGATCTGGAGGAAGCGGTCCGTTCCAAGACCCGGCAGCTTGATGACTTGCGTGCCAAACAGGGCGAGCGCAGTTACGACCACGAAGCGGCGCTCAAGGAGAAGGACGACGAAATCGAAATCTACAAGTCGGGCATGGAACAAGCACTGGAAGAACTGGAAGAGCTCAAGCTGGGCCACGGCGAGAGCGACGGTGCCCTCGACACTGCCATCGACGAGGTGATCAAGACGAATGTCAACAAGATCAACGATATCATCGACTCCGTACTTCAAAGTGGTGTGCAGAGAGTGGACGACGCTATCTACGAACTCGACTCACCCATGCAGGCCGGCAACCAGAACGCCACCGCCCCCTACGTCCTGTCTCAAGTCGAGAAGGCATCAGCCAGTGCGACCGAGTTTTCGACTGCATTCAACAACTTTGTCGCGGATGGACCTGGCAGCGATCACGCAGACATCATTAAGACGGTCTCGGTCTTTGCTGCTTCGATGGCAGATGTGCTGTCGAACACCAAAGGCTTGACACGGTTCGCGACCGAAGAGAAGAAAGGGGATGAGTTGACCAACGCCGCCCGCCAAGCTGCGCTCTCCACGATTCAATTCTTCCGCAACCTGCAATCGTTCCGCCTGGAGGGGCTTGAACCGATGCAGAAATCCGACGTGGTCATCAACAGCAATCACGACGTCCTCATGAAGCTCCAAAGACTGTCCAAACTCGCAGACGCCTTTGCACCCAAAGGAAGTAAAATCAGCACGACGGGAGATCTGGGGGATCTTGTCGACAATGAGTTGACCAAAGCAGCCAACGCGATTGAAGCCGCGGCTCAACGTCTCGCCAAGATGAAGAACAAGCCCCGCGACGGCTACTCGACATATGAGCTCAAGGTCAACGATACCATCTTGGAGGCGGCGGTCGCCATCACCAATGCCATCGCCCAATTGATCAAAGCGGCGACCGAGTCACAAAATGAAATCGTGCGCGAAGGACGAGGGTCGTCGAGCAGGACAGCGTTCTACAAGAAGAACAACCGCTGGACCGAAGGTCTGATCTCGGCGGCGAAAGCAGTGGCTACTTCGACGAACACGCTGATTGAAACAGCCGACGGTGTCATCTCTGGGAGGAACAGCCCGGAGCAGCTCATTGTGGCGTCGAACGATGTGGCTGCTTCGACGGCACAACTGGTGGCGGCGTCGCGCGTCAAGGCGAGCTTCATGTCGCAGACCCAGGATCGTCTTGAACAGGCCAGCCGCGCTGTCGGAGCTGCATGCCGGAGCTTGGTGCGTCAAGTGCAGGATATCATCCGACAGAAGGCACGTGATGATGGTGATCGGGAAGACTATTCCACCTTGAGCGGACACGAATTCAAGGTTCGAGAGATGGAGCAGCAGGTATGTGATCTGGTATCTCCTTTCCTTTGTCGTGTATTGTGCTGACGAGCATGCCAGGTCGAGATTCTACAATTGAGGAACGCTCTCGAAGCGGCACAGGCGAGATTGGCCGAGATGCGCAAGTTGAGTTACCGTGAGGATTAGGTTGCTTGGAGCAGATGTGTTTGAAGGTGCTCAACCGGTTCTGTGATACCGGTGGCGGTGGGGTGTTTGGGGGGGATGCTGCGTACCTTATGGACGGTCCAGTCCGATATTGATACAAAAGCAACAGCCGTGTGTATGCTTATCATCAACCTCAGACCAGTCCCTTTTATCAATATCACTACTCGCGGATTTGGTTTGTCGCGTAGGCAGCCTGCCCCGACAAGAGCTCGCGGGAATCGTCTACTCTCTGTATCACGTGACTGGATCCGTCACGTGAGTGGTGCGCGCATGTTGCGCATACGTCACTCGATTCGCCAGGAAGGAGCCGCTGCGTTGCCGCTGCCGCTGTTGCTGCTGCCACGGTCGCTCGCAACATGCTCACTCACTCCATTGTCTTGATCGACAGCTCGCTCTCTCTCACTCACGCTCGGTGCTCTAATGCTAGTCGTTTCCCTTGTTGCTGATCCCTCGGCTGACCATGCTCACGCCCGGAACACGTCCAATGCCGCCCTAGCCCATGGCTTCCCTACAATGGTTCCTCTTCGTCTACGTCCTCGGCGGCCTCACCTTTCTACCTCTTGTGGTTATTTTGGTGCTGGCCCACGCCTACTACACCCTACCTTCTCCTCACAACGGGAGCGCGAAAGCACCGCTCGACGATGACCCTGCACAACTGGTGCGTGCCGAAGATGACAAAGCTGCCTTCAAGACCGCTACCGACAGCCTCGCAGAGCAGTTCCACCGCAGGCACGACACAGACGTCGCTGCTGGCTACTTTGCCGTATGCCGAGAATATGTGCCCGGAGTGGTCCTGACCAAGCCGCCGGACAAGATCACTCCGGCTGGCGACGTGGTGGCGCAGGAATCTCCGAGCGTCTACCAGAGCATGTATCGGAGTATATTCGACCGATCGCAGAAGCCTACGATCGAACCGAACAAGGACAACGCGGGCAAGGGCACCAAGAAGACGAACAATGTCTTCTACGTCGTGCTTAGGTCGGTCTGGGGAGGGGCGCACTCAGACACTTCGAGGCTAATGCATGCATAGGCACGGACACCTCATGCTCTACGACGATATCCAGCAGCTGGAAGTCCGCTACGTCATCTCGCTCGACTACCACGACGTCGACATCTACGCTGGGGGGGAAGACATACCTGAGGGAGAATTGTGGATCAAGCGCAATGCCATTCGTTTGAGGCGGAAACAGACGCAGGTCGGGGACACGGCCACATCCATGCCCTTCTTTCTGTTCGGTCAAAGCCTGTCGGAGAAGGAAGACTTCTACCATGCGATCCTGAAGAACCAGGAGAAGGGCATCTCGGACGAGCCGCCCGTGCCGCAGTTGTTCGATGTTGGGCATGCGGTGCTGCTGGTGCAGAAGCTTCACTCGTCCGAGGAGCACCTTCAGACGAGGTGGCTCAATGCCATCATCGGCCGTGTGTTCCTCGCTCTGTACAAAACGCCCGAGATAGAAGGCTTCCTTCGCGAGAAGCTGACCAAAAAGATCTCGCGCGTCAAGAAGCCAACATTCATCACGAAGCTGGGCCTGCGGAAGATTGATCTGGGCACCAGCGCCCCATTTTTCACCAACCCGAGACTGAAAGACCTCACTGTGAATGGAGACTGCACCATCGAAGCCGATGTGAACTACACCGGCGGCCTCCGCATCGAAATCGCCGCCACGGCACGCATCGACCTGGGCGCGCGCTTCAAGGCCCGCGAGGTGGATATGGTCCTTGCCGTCACCTGTAAGAAGCTACAGGGACACGGCTTGGTCAGATGCAAACCGCCGCCCTCCAACAGACTCTGGTTTACGTTCGAGAAGATGCCACAACTGGATCTCGACATTGAACCCATTGTCAGCTCGCGGCAAATTACCTACACCTTCATCCTCCGTACCATCGAAAGCAGGATCCGAGAAGTCGTCGCGGAGAGCATTGTCCATCCATTCTGGGACGATATACCTTTCTTCGATACGATGCCTCAGAAATACCGGGGTGGTATCTGGAAGAGAGAAGCGCAAGACACGACGACGGAGATCCCCAACGAGGAACCCGAAGACCTGTCCGAAGCAGACAGCTCGGGGACCCCGACGTCCGCCGTGCTCTCCAAAGATGAGAGAGTGTTGAGCATGCCAGCCCTGAGTGATAACGGCGGCATAGGCACGGCGAAGGCTGCAAAGAAATCGCTGGCCTCGTTGAACGAGATTTGGGGCAAGAAGAAGTCGGAGCCGGTCGACAGGCCGGACTCTGCGACTCCTCGGTTACTACGATCGACCTCGTTCGCTAACGCGGCCGATCCGACCATCACCACCAATCATGCCGACGCCAACACCCCTACTCGAGGCTCAGAAGCCGGTGCCCATCGCGAGAGCGTTGCCACGATCTTGAAGGATATCTCGGCACGATCGAGCTCTAGCAACCAGTCAGGACCAGACTCGCCCGCCGGGTCCCCACCGGTGGAGTCGGCAATGGCAATGGCTATGAAAGGACGTTCTTCAAGCACCACTTCTGGCGCATCCGACGACCGTGAACAGGCTGGCCGTTTGAGTCGCAGATCCTCTTCCCTTCCACAAACGCCGACGAATGCCAGCCGAGCTTCCCTGGCGCCCTCCGAGACCAATGAAACGAAGGATGAGAGCAGACCGCCCACGGTCGAGGCAGAGAGGGAGCCTCCCAAGAAATTCTCGTTCGGCGCGAAGTCATTGACAAGTGGGGATCGGAAACAAGCGCTGGCCTCTGTCAATGCCGCGGCTGCGGCAGCCCAGAAATGGGGTTGGGGAGTGCTGGCGAGGAACAGGCAGCGTGAAGCACAAGCAGCTGCAGCAAAAGCCGCCGAGGAAGCTTCGAACGGTGCCTCTTCTCCCAGAGAACCAATGGGTCGTGGGAGGCCTCTACCGCCTCCTGGTATGCCGCTGCCTCCGCCCGAACGACCCAAATCTAGCTCTTTTCTGGCGTCGAAGAGGAAGCCAGTACCGCCTCCAATGTTGCCGAAGCGTCCCGAGACTGATGGGTCGACGCCGGCCAAATCCTCTCCCAAACCACCTCTTCCGGAGAGACGCAAGAGACAGAGTTCCATGCAACCAGCTGATGAGGCTGAGAACGAAGTGCTCGTTGTGGAAGCTCCGATCGAGTCTGCTCCAGCCAGTCCGACTGATGATGAACGTTACGATGGTGGACATCGCGATGACTTCTTCGGGCACGGCGAGGAACAGCTTGACCCTGCACCACCAGTCCTACCGACACCAGATGCAAGTCTCGGACAGGATGAGCCGGCAGAAAAGTTGGTCAATCTGCCGACGCCTCCGCGTGACGAGGTGGCCGAAGAGCACATGCACACACAGCCGCTGTCAGCTGAGAGACCCAGTACCGGCACCAGCAATAGCACCAGCGAGTACTCGCCGCCACTGGTGCAAGAGGGGGAGAGTGGGGAGATCAACCGGCAGGAGATCCGCATGTACACGTAGCGATAGGGGCTTCGAAATGTGTCAGGGCGTCAGTGTAGATTCTCGTCCACATGGCCATCAGCGGCCTGTTGTGTCCTGTCCTGTCCTGTTCTATTCGCTTACATCTGCCATCCCATCTTGTAAGATCTCGGACGGTCGGTTGGGGTCTTGGTTTCAGTGCTGGAGTTTGCACCGTGCAGTGATGTGACATGGCTTGATCGGCTGGCCGCCCTCGTTTCCGACAACGGCGAGCACGCACGGATTGTGTATATTTCTCCAGGTTCAATTGCTACGAGGCCCTAGAAGGCCTGTCCATGTATGTCTCCAATCTCCTTGCGTCCGAGTCGATCCAGTCCCGTCACCGCACCAGAACATCCGTTAGCGACGATGTCTACACAACGTACGATACATACCTTATGTGGAGGTGTACTAATCCGTATTACCGTGCGCGTTATCTGCGTAGGGCTAAAACTCCGGATGAACGTAATTCTGTCAAACTGGGTGGTAATTACTGTGTATACTGTTTACACAACATCACGCATGTAGTCATATTACACGGTCGCGTACAAACAACGTAGGATGGAATAACGCGCAAGGTAACAAGGATTAATACAACCCTGTATTTAGTAGGTAGTACTTACCGGATCGCTGACTCTCGACCTCGATCCTTTCTGTCCCGTTCGACCCCTATCTCTAATTATCTCTTTTCTACATTCAGTTCATCTTCGAAGTCCTGTCTTCCCTCGTCGTGTTCGAAGTCGAGTCCTTCCTCGTCGTGTTCAAAGTCGAGTCCTTCCTCGTCGTGTTCAAAGTCGAGTCCTTCCTCGTCGTATTCGTGGTCCCATTCTCGCCCCATCACCATCTCCGGCAACAGCTTGACCATCTCACAAAGCAGCACGGCAACGACCATCAAGGCCACCGGCCCGGGTGTCGCGCTCAAGACGACAACCAAAACAATCAAGCCGACCAGGGTGGCGCCGCTCCGGTCGCAGGACGGGTCCCGGTCGCGGATCTCGTCGCACGTGTCCAGCACGAAGTTTTCGAACGCGTAGTACCGTGCGAGACAGAAGTTCCGGCCCAGGCCCACGAAGAGGGCGGTCCCGTACATGAGTTCGCTAAAGTCCAAGTCGCCGAACTCGTCGAACGCTGCGTGGATCTCGTGTGGGATCGCCATTATTGGGGGCTGGCTGTATGCGGTATTTGCTGGCCTGGGCAGGCGTACGCGTTAGTAAAAAGGTACTCCTCACTCGTCCTCAGAAGAGGGTCGAGCTCAATCACCGGATGGGAAGGGAGGGGACATATTTTAAACTGAGAGGAGGAGGGGGGGCAAACTCACTGCTGTACCTAGGGGCTTTGTTCCGCGGTTGTGTGCAGTGCGGTGCTTTTTGTGTGTAGTACCGTGCTTTGTGTGTGTAGTACCGTGCTTTTGTGTGTGTAGTGCGGTGCTTTGTGTAGTGCGGTGCTTTCGCGTCTTTGTAAGGTCCAAAAGGACTTTGTAAGGCCAATGATGTGGCCGAGCCGAATCGAGATGAGGCGAGGCGAGTCCGAAGCAGATATTGGGTATGGACAGACGCATGGAACGTATCCATAGCCATGCTGAGCATGCACGCGAGGAAGGAAATGTACAGGCAAAGACCATCAGGGCATCCTCTGAACCCTAAGGGTCCTTTGCGCGGACGAGGCAGAAATAATGCAAGGGTGAGGCAGAGATGTCGTTGCGTGTGAGCATGTCACGGCAAGGGCTTCACTGCGAGGCAGTTGTTACCGCGAGACAGTCATTCCACAAGGCTGTCATCACTAGACAGCAGCATGTCATGTCCAAACCGAGCCTTATACAATATATCGCGATCCCGAGTGTCGACGACAGACACGTCTCTGTGCTAATCGGTACGCCTTCGATACCTTCTCTTCCTTTCCAAGCGACCGGCCGGAGGACGATGATGCGCATGTCCCCAACAGCGATACGCGCACAGTCAGCCTCGGTCGCGCCCTGCACAACTTGATCTTTTGACCTCCCCCGGTTCGTGACATGGGGTATAAAGGCAAAGGCCCGGCATTCTAGGATCACCTTGGGTTACTTGACACACGCTCGACCCTAGCATGTGAAAGTTGGAGGTCGGTTGCATGGAGCGTGGTAAACAGTCGCCGCCCTGCTAACAGTCTGCGGCGGCAAAGAAACTCTGGGCTGGGCAACAACGGAGCGAGGACAATAGCTGAGGTTTCGCACGAAGACTGTGGCATCAAGAACAAAGGAGAGAAGGCCCAGAAATACAAACGCCATGGGACAAAGAAGGCCTCTGCTGGAGCGTGTCCAACATAGTGTCTTCGTGTACACATTTGCTGCGAGGACCGTGAGTTTAGGTATGTGCACATGCCACGACGGCAAGGTCGCTGGCTCGGTTCGAGGGCCGCACCATGGCTACCATGCACGACAGAATCGATCATTATCAAGAACAATGGTATGATGAGTGAGAATCTCCAGCGACCTTTTCTCCAAGACACGAAATGTGATGACTAATGTTGCCAATGCGATCACGTGAGTGTCACGTGAAGCTTAACAACCCTGTAAGGCCAAGGTCGGGGGACCTTTCTGACACGGATGACACAGCCTGCCTCGATTGATCTGCGACTCGCTCGGAGGACATGATGAATTCAAAGGGGTCTGGGGGCAGACATGTCTATATAGTTACAGAGGCCTACATAAACAATACGGTATCTTACAAAGGGGGTTACAGTCCAGAACACCCGTGAACCCTCTTAGCCCTGTCTGGGCAATGCTCGGGTAACCTTTCCAGTAACATCGCCCCGCATTATTTTCACGTGACACCGTGATGATGCGAGATGGCGTCGTCGATCGGTTAAGGCTGCCGCTGGACTCGCTGCGAAGCTTTCGATCCATCCATCAGTTGGCTTCGGCCGCAGGCAGGGGACAAAGCGGGGGAGCTGAATGACGAGACACTTTCCGCGACAAACAGCACGGGCTGCTGCTGTGGTCCCGATCTCGCATCGAGCACCGAGCGGCGACTGCTGGCATGATGCCGTACAGTGACACGGGTCCGTGCACGTCGAGAGTGTCTTGAACTGTGGGCTGCATTCATCCTCCCTTCGCCTGGGTCGGTATTACCCACACTTCAAGGTGAGGCGAGCCAAGTACTCCGTATATCCCGGATCGATCGGTGGAACAGGTCGGAAACCCTCCTGCAGAGATGCCGGGTTCGCCTTTACAGCCGTCCCAGGTAAGTCGTTGACGGTCCTGGGACACGCACATTTCGTTCTAACCCGGAGCCAGGGAGTGGATGCGGCGGCGCCCAACCCCGGGATGGTTCACCCCGTCTGTCAGCCAGACATGGCGGCGCTGTATCACGTCCTTCGGTTCTTGCTCCCCCGGGTCGGCGCCAGCCTGGGTCCCAGCCCGCTCGTCACCCTCTTGTCTCTCGATTGGGCCAGCGCGGAACTGGCCCTCGGCCTGGAGTTCGAGAGCCGTTGGAAGGTCGAATTGACCAGCTCAAACATCATCAGCCTCTTCTACAGCTGTTTTGACTCGTACGGCCCCCCTCTCAGGCCCGCCGTCGATTTTGTCGAGGTCGAAGAGTTGGTCGTGCTCGCGATGCAGGACGTCGAGGCGCGCGACGAACCGGAACGCGCAGGGCGCAGCAAGCTCTTTGAGATCGTCAAGTTGGTCTTCAAGTCCGGCGAGCGGTTGAACTGGGTGCTCATGTACGAGCGCAGCATTTGCCGTCTGTTCACCCGCGGGCCTGACCATAGACTGCTCGAGCCTTGCTTCCGACAGAGCGTGAACCAGGCGAGCCTGTCGACATACGAATGACACCTAGGGGGCCCGAGGACGGAAAGATACTGAAGAACGCCACAACTGCTGGTCTGGGTAACCCAATACAGGAACTTGTGATATCCATGTTGGCCACGACCACAACCACGACGATGCGACGACCACCGACGCCGGCTATGCACGGCCTGCGGCGAGGACTGTGGAAAACGTGATTGCTTCGTCATGGGGGCGCAGACTCTTGTATCGCTTCTTGAGAAGAAAAGGAGAAAAGCATAGATTCAGTCATGATATCATGAAAGATTAACACCTATCAAACACAAGAATCAGATCCTTGTTTGCACCATCCTTTGACCATCCTTGATCTGTGGTGCCTCTGCGGTATGCAGCTGCCCGCAGGATCTTGTCCTCTGCTCGCTCTCGCCTACATCGCCTTTCGCGCAACCCTCAGTACCACTCCGCCAACCCTGCTTGGCGACCACCGCGCCGTAGCGGCGTTTCGTGTCGCCGAGGAACACGGGAGAAGGGTTTCACTCCGTGGGTGCAGCTCCGACTGCTCAAACGCCTCTGCCAGATCCGGCACTCGGGCGGGTTCCCATTCTCCTGTCGCAGCTTGGTTCAGTGGCAATGGTCGTGGCCGCGGCCGAGGCCAAGGCCACGGAGGTGCATCATGCAGAGGACAATGAAGAGTTTTCTTGAGTTGTTGCAAGGAGCGAGAACCGCGCTCGAGCAGGCAAAATCATTGACAAAGGCTCAAACAAATCTATCTGAAATTCCTGCGACAGGCGCTGAACGCCAGCCGAAGGAGATTCTCTCAAATCTTACCACCATCAGGCGGCTGCTTTTAGGCTATTATTCCTTACAGTCTGGGTAGCATCCACCTTCCTCAAGGTATCCGCCAGGTTCACCTTCCCTCCATCGACAATCATGGGCGGGCCTTGGTATCCCTTCCTCGCGCCCAAGAACCACCATGCCGCGACAAAGATGGTGAATCCGCCCCAGATCAGACAGGCGTAGTTCATTGTCTGCGCATCGGTCGGCAGATAATACGGGAAGCAATAGATGACGAACCAAACCATCATGTACGCGCAGGCGATAAAGTTGAAGACGAATCCAATGGCGCCTTTGAGGTGGAAGGGGCCATAGACCTCGATGTTGCGGCGTTTGGTCAGGAGGTGCGGTAAGATGGCGGCTGTGTAGGAGGAGCTGGACAGCAAGACGAACGACCCAACGAAGGCGTTAAAGGCCGTAGTGCTGCCGACATAGATGGCTCCGAGGATGGTGACGAGAATGGCGGACGTGATGGTTGAGTTGAATGGCATGCCGAGTCGATGATTGACTTGGCCCAGAAGGCTCGGGAAAGGCGTGGCCCCGTCGCGAGCCAAGGCCCACAGAGTTCGACCACAGGTGATGTAAAGACCGCACACGCAGATGCCGATGCAGATGAGGACCAGAGTGAGCAGCCCAATGGCTCCGTTGGCCGAGCCGGTAGCCTGGCGATAGATCTCGGCGATTGGGTATGGCGATTCGAAGAGAGCATCGTAGTCGTTGATGGCGTAGAGAATCGCAATCAGATAGGCAAATCCGGTGACAAAGCCGATGCTCATCTGGCATGCAATGGCAATGGGCACGTTCCTTTGTGGGTAGGGGATCTCTTCGGCAAGATGGCTCGTAGTGTCCGGAGTACCGACGCTGAAAGCCCCGTTGAGCATACCAGCCACGAAAACGAACCCGTTGGGATACCCGATATCAGCGGTCCACTCGGTCCAGACAAAAGCCGAAGATGCATGTCCTGGTCGGCCATCCCGACCGGGCATGACTGTGACCACCACAATTGTGATGAGGAATCCGGCCAGAATGAAGAAGATGCCGATGCTGTTCAGCCGGGGCATGGCCTCGTTGAAGAAGCAGACAATCAAGCATGCGATCCAGGTGACGATGATATATGTCACAAAGACGTGCCACGGCTTCGAGACGAAATCCGGATGCTTCAGAGCATACCTGCCTAGTGTCAGCGTGTCCTCCTCATGGAAGCCCTCTCTGCGCTCACATTTGCACGACCGTGTTTGAAAAGATGGATGTCATCGACGCGGCTCCGAGAATCCAGGCAAGGCAATTCCACCAACCCGCGAAGAAGCCCACGACACGACCCCATCGTTTCCCTGCCGTGATGGTAGCCCATTGATAGACGCCGGCGGATGAGGGGATCGCCGACGCGAGCTCAGCTATGGATGCTGCCACGATCCAGTAGAACACGGATACGACGAGGAACTCGTACAGGACACCTGGGAAGCATTAGCACGAGTCAAGAGGACTGCATGGGAGCCCGACGAACCTGGAGGACCGCCATTGAAAATGGCCACCAGGATTGAGCCTCCAATGGCCGGCCACACGTTGCCAACCACAAGACCGACACCGGCAAGGGAGATCAGGCTGAAGTTGCGCGACAACTCTTGAGTATGTCCAGATGCGTTGATAATGTTGCCTCTCTCTGAGGCCTCTGAGTCGGTCGACACATCGGCCGTTGGGTTCTTGTCCGCCATTCCAGAACCTCTAAGCACGCATACAACGGGAGCAAACACAAAACAACAACGAGAACAACGAGGACAAAGGGACTGAGAAAGGTGAGAAGAGTGCAGAAACAGATCAAGCGACTGGTCACCAATACCTAGGTAGACATGAGACAAGCATGACAGGGTCGCAGCTTGTCCATGCAAATGGTACCTGGATCCCGGCCGCCAGGTGGCGCGCTAGGTCCTCTCGATCATGTCTCGATATCTCCGCTCTGAGAGTTTGCACGAGGTGAAGTGGGCATCAAGTGCGCGTGAAGTGGGCGTGAAGTGGAGGTGAGGCCAAGGTGAAAGGAGTGTGAAGCTACGGGCCCGTACGAGCAGGTGGGCGACTTCCCGAGGCCGAGCCAAGCAGAGCCCAGAGCTGTGAGGGGTCAGTGGGTCCCGACGACCGCCGCCCAGACACACTCCTGTTCGCTCAATGGGCCAATTCACCCGCCACTCACTTGCAAAACTTTCTCTCCCGCTTTTCCATGCTCCCCTGTTGCTCCCAGAGAATCTATGTGTCACTGAATCACACCATGCCTCTCATCTCATGCACGGAAGGGACCACTTCCAGCGACTCTGGCACAGTGGATGTTACTGCTTTGGTTCGTCGCCCGGCCCGAGTTGCAAGGGCCTACCCGGTTATGAATTTTCTCGAGCTCCATCGCCTATCCATCTGGCAGCAGTTCGGAAATCGGTTGCACCCACTGTACCTGACAGCTGGCACCCGCAGGCACATGGCCTTATTGAGAGCTGGGTCTTGTATGCGACGAAAGCAACAGCATCGGCGTCTTGTCTCTGCTATCCTCGCCGTGTGATCCCAAAGCTTTGCATACCTTGGCAGCAGGAATTCCCATACACCTTCGACCGCGGGTTTGTCTTGGCTGAAGAGCCCCAACACGCATACGGCAGGTTGGGAGAAAAGGGCGCAAGCCCACTTGGTCGGCCAACCCCTTTTGCACTTTCCACCGACAATCCTGACTATCGCGAGGCGAGCTCGTGGAGCTCCACCTACTAACTCTCGAGCCGATACCGTATCTGCTCCCAATGATGTTCTGGACACTGTCCCTCAACGGGGGAATATAGTGTCTCAGGGTCGACTTGGCTGTTTTGGGCAATGAACCGTGGAGGATCGGTATTACAAAGTGGGTGGAATTCCTGCGCATCCGCCTGCGCTCGCTGCGTGTTGGTCCTCGAATTCAATTCTGTCGCTACCTCAGGTGCGACATTCTGACCGGGACATCGTCCAAGTGACCAGACATGTCAACGAATCCCAACCCTGGCTTTGTGCCAGAATCATGGAGTCTGTACGGGGTCGGTGCGCTTTTCGTGGTGTTGCGACTGTCAGTATTGCCCCGACAGCGTCCCAAGAGCCCCGTCAGCTAACCTGGTGACAGAGTCGGAAAAGTCAAAAGGGTTGGGTTGAGGCAGCTTGAAGTCGACGATGCGCTCATAGCATTTGGCTTTGGCTGGTATACACTACTGGTCATCGCCTTCAATGAGATGCTGAAAGGCCCCGGCTCCAACTTGATGACGCCGGAAGAAGAGGCTGCTCTCACACCCGAAATCACAGATGGTCGAATTCGAGGAAGCAAATGGGTGTTTGTCTCCGAGCACGCCGAGCTGCTCACCATCTGGACCATGAAGGCGGCGATGCTCGTCCTCTATGCAAAAATTATCGACAAAGCACGGCAACGAAAGCTGCTCTGGGGTGTGGTCATATGGGTCTGTTGCGCTTTCCTCGGAGACGAAATCGCCTTGTTCACCATCTGTCGACCTCTCTCGCAATATTGGGCCGTACCACCGAACAATGGTAAGCCTTGAATCCAGCCCCCCTGAAACGGCTGCTAATGGGGTCTCCAAGCCCAATGTTCTACCTATCAGTACTATCAGATTGTCAACGCCGTGTTCAACATCTCCACGGATATCCTGATAATGCTCATGGGCATTCCCCCTGTCCTATCAGCTCGCTTGTCTATCCAACAGAAGCTCATCCTCGGCATCATATTTGGGATGGGAGGTTTCGTCATCGTCGCGGCCATCCTGCGAGCCATTTACTGCCTGGTCCCGTCCTTGATCAGCTATGTGTACATGAACTGGTACTTCCGCGAGGCTTCGGTCGCCGTCTACGTGACCACGCTACCGGGTATCTGGGTCTTCCTGAAAGAGGTGTTTCCCATCATCCAACGTCTGACAAGCCGGACACCCACCAGGCCAACCAACTCGCAGACAGCGGACCATCAGAAGCAGATGGCTTCGTGGCGCCAGCCTAGCAGGAACAACCACAGCCAATTCGACTCCAAGAACGACCTCGACTTTGATCTGGACACGTATCCCATCAGCAAGTCTATGGTGACAACGGCCGACCATGAACTCGGAAACCAACCTGTCACTTCCAGTGACAATGGACAAGGCGACGGTGATTCGGCGAACTCGGTTCGGTATGAGGCTGTGGTCAATGGAATCAGGTGTGACAAGTCGTTTACGGTCGAAAGTATACCGAGGACGCAGCCATAAGTAATCAGACAGCTGGGACAACGCTTCTAAAGGGACGTCTCGGGGACTACCTCTTCGGTGGTGAAGGCTTTGCTTTAGTTCAAGCAAATGGCGATAGGGACATCGTTCGTGGTTGGGTACGGTCTTGTTGCGATACGGGTGAACAGGACGGGAAGTACCTTGTATGATCATGATTAGACGACCGTCGGAAAAGGGAGGACATCTGCTATTGTTAACGGTTCCTGTGTATATATAGAGCGCATGGGTGTCTAGTACAGTCGTGAGCCGAGGTGCCACCTGTCAATACTCGCCCAACATCAATTGAGATGCTTAACTGGTCGCTACGGCCCGGCCTTCCTTCTATCATCCTTCGCTGCACAAGGCATACGGAGGTTCTGGACCGCTGAGACTTTGGGACTTTTGTACGTGTCGTGCAGATGCCGTCAGCTTGCAGGAAACGCACCCGGGTGCAATGCCACCCGTCCGTGGAAACCGAAACCTTTGCGGATTGGTGAGGCTGTGCATTTAAGGCTGCCTGCCTGGGCTGCTGCCTTCGAAGAAAACGGCCACATCGCTCAGTTCCTATCTCTCTGCCTACAATGATTGATATCGTGCTTCGCTTTTACGCAGACCCAGTGTATGCGTAGGATGTCTCTGTGACAAGACAGCATGCTCGCATCTGCTGCCGTGGCTGGTCCGGACACTCACCTGCTCAGGCTATCGGGCGCTGACTCGGAGCCGAGAATCCCACTCGGTCGCCGCCAAAGCCGTTGACACAATGTTTCGGCTCGCAAGTGCTCTTCCAAGCTTCAGGGGAAGCAACAATGGTGTCGATTGTCATGCAAAGGCCGCAGCAGAAGAACAAGACCAGGTGCCACCACTGAACACAGACATTCCGGCCAGCACCAACCAGGAGACGACCCCCGTTCAGGGCATTCCTCCCTGGGTGCGCGAACTGAACAACTCTCGGGTCACCAGGCACAGCCGCGCTTCATCGATTGTCTCGACACAGTCAAAGTTCACTACGACTACTCTGCAAGACGATGCACGCAGCATTGACATCAATGTGGGCGGACAGTTGTTCCGGATCAGTCGAGATGGCTCCCGAGTGACAGCTGATGCTCCTCCACCGTATACCGGGCCAGGAGAAGTGGTTCGATTCCGGACAGATCGAGCCCATGAAGCTGCCACCCTCGATGAGGACGACGAGGAAGGGGACGAGGCAGAGGGTGGCGCGGTCACACCAAGATCGACCTTTGTCACCCTTGATACAGACCGCGGAATTCGAGCCAACGTCCTCGACCCAACAGAGTTAGAGATGCCTTCTCCAGTAGGGCACGATCAGGTCAGCCACCGATCCCTTCCCGCTACACTTGCTCAGCATCCACAAGCCCAGGGCAGGTGGGAAGCCTCACAAGAGGCCACATCGACCCTCCAACGCGCGGTGCTAGAGTCATCGCCTCTGAGCAGGACAAATGGCGTGCGCCTGCCTCGCCTCATCACCTCAAGCGACATTCCCCAGGCAACCCATCGGCCCCGGCGCCTCCAGAATGTTTCATCCCGGGGGCATCCAATCCAGGTTCGATCTGCGGGCGCGATCCTTGGTGAGCAGCCCGCCGACCGTGAACCAACATCGCCCGACTACATCGGACGGAACGCGTCAGGCGCCTTTCCGTTTCCGAACAGAGCGGTCACGACTCAGCACGCAACCGCAATGCGACATCGCTACCCATTGGTGGACAAGGCGAGCACGGATGGGTCGGATCATGCACGAGAGGAGAGCGGCACCCCTCTCTCGATGGACGACGAGAACGACATCAGTCTGCATTACGCGCGTATGATGCGCACATTGGATGCAGCACATCGGAAGGCGATGCTCTTGAAGGACAAGCAAGTGTCCGAACTGCGGGAGAAGCTGAATGAAAAGGACATTGTTTTGAGACAGCAGCTCCGCGCGAAAGATTTTATCATCGACGACCTGAAGAAGAGGCTCAGCAATCTAGAGGAGAATGTCGAGAGCATGCTGGAGAAGGCGCGACACCAGGTCGAGGACCTGTGGGAAGCTCGGTGGAAGGATCGGGACTTTCACCTGCGGGAGAGGATGAGGCGGATGGAGGAGGATGCGCAAAGGAATATGGACAGGTTGGGACTTGGTCAGCCGCTGTCAGAGGACGACGGATCGAAGAGTCTCCGGTGAGCTCTGCCGCGAGGGAGGAGGCATGTTGGATCTCCGTCCGATGCCCAATGAGCCCAGTCGAGTAATTAATGTATACACCCTCATGAGCGTCGACGATACGTATTTCAGAATCTAACCATTGAGTAAACCAGAATGCAGGCGTGATCCTGAGCAGTTGCTCTACGCGCCTCGCAGCCTTGTCTGCCCCATGCATACAAAAGCCGGAGGCCAAACTCACCCCGCCAGTTCAATGCTGGGAATATTTGGGCGCTCTGGGCGTTGCGGGCGTTGTGGGGGGAGGGGAATCAGATCCTGGGCGGCCACGGGCGCCTAATCCCGGCCTTGTTGCGCCTAAACTGTGCCGCAAACAAACCAGAGGCGCAGCGTCGGTGACTTCATCTCGACCCCACGTTCAAATCCCAGCTCCTCAACAACTTTGAACTGAGAGGACGAACCTGATGCAATCGCCCTCAACGACACGTTGCTCTTCGCTTCTACTCTCACCATTTGCTTGACTATATTTGGCATTCATCCACCGTCTGGTCGCTCACTTTGGCCTTTGCACCTTCAGACCAATTAAATCTCAGCGCTACGCCGTGCATTCTTCCAGGTCGCCTACCCGTCAGGCAAACCTGTGCATGGGCAAACGCACCTCATCCTCGTCCCGCGAGCCTTCTCGTTGACACGGCACCAAGCCCAGGTGCGAGACCTCAACGTCAGCACGGGGCGATATGCCTTCACAGCGAGATCCATCGGGGGGTGGCCCGAGCAAGGCGGCGGTGCGATTCCATGGCAGGAAGAAGAAGGGCAATCAATTACAGAAACCATGGCTTTACGATTTGGTCCTCTGGGCATTATCCATTCTGATAGACCTCTTCTTCCGCGAAGTACATCCCCGAGGAGCTTGGAAAATCCCCAAGACCGGCCCTGTCATTCTCGTTGCAGCACCACATGCCAATCAGGTATGCAGTCCTGCCCGGTTCTCGCCAGCTCCCGCCGGTACTGATGATGCTATAGTTCGTCGATTCCTTGATCTTGATGAGACTCCTCAAGAACGAAGCCAACCGAAGAATTTCATATCTGATTGCGGAAAAATCCACCAAGCGCAAGTTCATTGGGACTCTATCTGCGGCGATTGGAGCCATACCCGTGGGCCGAGCCATGGACAGTGTCAAGCCGGCCAAGGGCAAGATTTTTCTTCCAGACCAAGATAATGACCCTACTCTCATTCGCGGCGTCGGTACAGACTTTAAAAATGGCGACTTTGAGGTAGGAGGACTGATTGTCCTGCCCAAAGTGAGAGGTCAGACCCCCAGCACCGAAATTGCCGAGATCATCTCGTCCACTGAGATCCGTCTCAAGAAACCGTTCAAGACGGCGGAGGCATTGGAATCTCTGACCGGCACTGGGTCCCCGAACGATGATCCAAGCGAGCAACAGCGTGGCTGTTCCTTCAAGGTCGCTCCCTACGTCGACCATTCCAAAGTATACGACGCAGTCTTTGACGAGCTCGAAGATGGTGGTTGCATCGGCATCTTTCCTGAAGGAGGCAGCCATGACCGTCCAGATCTGCTACCTCTCAAGGCGGGTGTGGCCCTCATGGCTTTGGGGGCTGAAGCCAAGCATCCCGGTTGTGGTGTTAAGATCATTCCAATCGGCATGAACTATTTCCATGCACACAAGTTCCGTTCGAGGGCTGTCATCGAATTCGGACATCCCATTGAAGTTGATCCCGAGCAAGTCGAAAAATACAAAGCAGGCGAACGCAGAAACGCGGTCGGCTCTCTACTCGAGACGGTCTTCCAAGGCTTGGTCGCGGTGACACAGTCCTGCCCCGACTACGACACCCTGATGCTGGTACAAGCGGCGCGCAGGCTGTACAACCCGCTTGGCAAGAAGCTGCCCCTACCTCTGGTGGTCGAGCTGAACAGGCGTCTGGTCAAGGGCTACACGACCTACAAGGACGACCCCCGTGTCGTCGAGCTGAAAAAAGACGTTCTTGAATACAATCGTCAACTTCGAGCACTCGGCGTCCGCGACCATCAAGTGGAGTGGGGCAATCCTGCCAAACGTCCGTGGTGGCTCATCCTTGGAACGCTAATCTACCGACTAGGCGAGCTGTTCCTGTTGGGCATAGGAACTCTCCCCGGACTGGCCATGTTCTGGCCTGTCTTTGTTACCACCAAAGTCATATCCGTCCGGAAGTCCAGAGAAGCTCTGGCGGCATCGACGGTGAAGCTGCAAGGGCGGGACGTTATTGGCACGTGGAAACTACTTGTGGCCATGGCGTTTGCGCCAGCGCTCTACATCTACTACACCGTTGTTGTGTCGCTGTGGTTGGTCTACAATCGGCGTGACGGCTATTATACTTACAGAGTTCCCTGGTGGATGGTGGCCCGAACGTACGTGCCCGACTTCATCCCCATCTGGCTTTTCGCCGTGCTCTTCTTCCTTGTGTGTATCATGGTCACCTTTGCCGCTTTGAGGATTGGGGAGATTGGCATGGATGTCGCGAAATCCTTGCCGCCGCTCTTTGTCGCTCTGAACCCACGATCTTCGAGTCGGTTCGTGAAACTCCGGCAACGTCGGCAGGCGCTGTCAGAAAGGGTGACGAACGTGATCAACGAGTTAGGGCCAGAAGTCTTCCCCGACTTCGATGCCGCTCGGATTGTGGCAGATCCGTACAAGGAAGGAGTGTATCAATCCAAATACAAGAAAATGCCAGAGGAGCCGAGGATCGACTCCGCAGAGCCTACGACGCCCACCTCGTCGGCTTTCGAAGAGAGATCGCCGGACTCGCCGTCGGCAAAGAGCATGTTCAGCTTGTTGCCGTCCAACGAGGCGTTCAGCAACATTGGAGGATTTGGGTTTTTCGCATCGCGACCAACGACGCCAAAGAGTCGCAGCCGGAGTAGTTCTGCCGGCGGAGCTCTTACGTCTGCGAGCACTTTCAAGATGACGAGCCTCGACCACGATGAAGTCAGCAAACGCATCCGCGGGGCCATGCGTGAAAGAGGAAGAAAACGCGAAGGCGAGGGAGCGGAGACAGAGACGGAGAGCAGCTATGACATGGCGGACGATGGCCGAATGACCCCGGCAACCGAAGATGAGGAGCCCAAGAAGGACAGGTGATGAAATGACAGATGACGAGTCGATGACCAGCGGATGAATGTTCAGACATTGTATGGCTTGTACTCTTTGGGTTTCTTGTATGTCCATGCCCGTTGCTGTTGTGGCCAGCTATCACAGCTCCGTATACCCCAGGATAAGGAATGAATCGCTCAAGACGCTGGATCCTGATCGGCACCCCCGGTGAAATGTGGGGAACGGAAGATTCCGTCCTGTGCTGCGGCCTGCGATGATGCCAGCACCCGTCGAAACAAGGCAACACAACGCATTTCAACTTGGCACCGGGCACCTCAACACCAATCGCCTTCCCAACGATGCAGGCAACGTTTGTAGCCTGATGTACTCAGTCGCACAGATTTTGATTTGGTCACACTTTTCACAGAGACCGACAGCGTGTAGTAACCAGCGCCGTCCCTAGTCGAGGCTGCTTGCTTTCTGTTGAACAGCCGTCGAGTCATTGCATCCCACCGAGCTCAAAGACCCTGTCTCGACGGACGCGCCGATTTGACCCTCCTCATGACCAGCGACTGAGTTGTCGCCTCCCGGCCTCCTGCCGTTCTATCCTGGGATCTATTTCCTCCATTCCAGCAGACCCCAGCCTGATCCCAGTGCCATGGATCCCTTCGACCAAAACCACTTTGACCAGCCGCGCCCGCCGTGTCCCCCGCCGTCGACGACGCCCTTCCGTTTGGATGAAGGCTTCTCCGAAGACTCGGCCAGCCCGGACGAGCATGGGCGCATGTTCGCGGCCACGGCGGCCCGCTTTCAAGAATGGGTCCTGGCACAGAATGAAGACGCGCGCGCCGAGATTGCATACGAGATCCTGCGCACGCTGCGAACATCTCACATATCAGGCGTGGTCGACCGACTAACGCCTCTGCTGCACATGGATCCGATGGAGAAGCTCCCGCAGGAAATCACTTTGCAGATATTCGCCTACCTGGACGCGGAGACGCTGTTGGCAGCCTCACTAGCTTCAAAGACGTGGCAAACGCGGATCATGGACACCATGCTGTGGCAGGAACTGTACAGGTTGGAAGGCTGGGGCTTGAACGAGAAAGAAATCAGAAAATTTGAAAGTTCACGCATGTCAGCCGGGCGTCAACAGTTAAAGAAGGCCAGAGCGCCGCCCCATGGTCAACCCTCCCTGAAAAAGAGAGTGACGTCCGACTGGTTCGAGAGACGACAGGCGATTCTGGCTGAAGCCTCAACCCCTGTCCCGGCCGACGTCGATCAATGGCGGGAACAGCACGGTCCCATTGAAGTAGACACCGACATGCAGTCCGAGACCGACGACTTGGAGATGCAAGATGCACTGGCAAGAATCCAGAACTCTCCCTCGCGGCCGAACAAGAGGCAAAGCCAAGAGGACGACGAAGACATGGACTACTCTGGTGACACCGAAGGCGAAGTCAGCTCGAGTAAAAGAGCATCTCGCATTCCCGATCATCCCTTCAAGACGCGACTCGTCGTTTATGACAGCAACGGAGAGAAGAAGCTGAACTGGGTCCATCTCTACAGGCAACGGCAGAGGCTGGAACAGAATTGGATCAAAGGCCGATATTCCACGTTCCAGCTACCCGATCCCAGCTACCCCCACGAAGGTCACACGGAATGCGTCTACACTATCCAGTTCTTTGGCAAGTGGCTGGTCAGTGGCAGTCGGGACAAGACTCTCCGTGTCTGGGACCTCGAAACTCGCCGCTTGAGAGGGAAACCGTTGACCGGCCACTATCAGTCTGTGCTCTGCCTGCAGTTTGATCCCACGGAGAAGGAGGATGTCATCATCTCGGGAAGCAGCGACGCAAGTGTCATCATTTGGCGGTTTTCCACCGGGCAGAAGATACACGAAATCCCATCTGCGCACGAAGAGTCTGTCCTCAATCTCCGCTTCGACCAACGCTACCTCGTTACCTGCTCCAAAGACCGACGCATCAAGGTCTGGAGTAGAAAACACATGGTTGCTACGGACCAGGACTATCCCGAGGTCAAACCGGGCGGTCATGTTCGCGTGCCTGTATACATTGTCAACACGGCGGAAATGGGGCCATCGCGCCTGGAAGCCGGAATTGCCAATGGGGAGATACAGGCTATAAAGCCGTACATGCTTCTGCTGACGCTGGAAGGTCACAGTGCAGCCGTCAACGCCATACAGATCAACGGTGATCTCATCGTCTCCGCCTCTGGTGATAGATACATCAAAGTGTGGAATGCCAAGACCGGAAAGCTGCTCAGGACGTTACAAGGGCATCAGAAGGGCATTGCCTGCGTGGAGTTCGACAGCAAGCGAATTGTCAGCGGGAGTAGTGATAACACAGTGAGAATATATGACCCGGTGACAGGTTCTGAGGTAGCCGAGCTCAAGGGGCATACAAACCTGGTGCGGACCGTGCAAGCCGGATTTGGCGACCTGCCCGGGAGTAACGAGGAGGACGAGGCGAGGCGCGTCGAGAAGAGGTACCTGGACTACCTCCTTGCGAGTGGTGTCGTTCTCGAGCATCGGGCGCTCCGGCAAGGTGCGAGAATCAATGTGGAGGGCACTTCGCGATTCACCATCGGCTCCAGATTACCTCCGGGGGGCGGCGGCAGTAAATGGGGTCGCATCGTGTCGGGCTCATACGATGAATCAATCATCATCTGGCGGAAGAACGCCAAGGGCGATTGGGTCATGGGTCAAGTCCTGCGACAAGAGTCGCCGTCTCAACAGCCACAGCTGAATCATCGGCAGCAGTTACTGTACGACCGAGCGGCCGACACTGTCCGCACTGCTGCGGCTGTTCGCGCTGCTCCAGCGGCCCAGCAACCTCGACAGGCTCCGATACTCCCCTCGACGGGCCACGAAAGTGCTGCTGGCAGCGTCCGTCCGGCCGTGATGTCCGTCTCTCACATCCTCCAACAAGCCGTGAACACATCATTTGGCAATTTCGGTACTGGACTCGCGGACGTCACAGGCCTGGGTCGAGCACTCAACGGATCTGTCGAGGTTGGTGGTCCGACGCGCAACAACATCAACCTCACGGTACACGGCAACAGCGTCCAATCAATAGCTCAACAGGCCGCGGCACAAGCTCAGGCGGCCGTCACTCAGACATTGGACAACTCTATTTCGCAGTCACGCGCACGGCAGACGGGCAGTACACACGCCGGCTCGTCCACAAATGGGCACCGTCGCACAATCCCCCATCATCCTCATGACGGACCATTCGCCGCCACCTCAGCCGCCCAACAGCAACCATCTCAACCGCATCCGCGGCAACAACAGCAAGCGCGCGCGCCTTCCGATCCCCTCTCTGCCGCGACCGCAGCATCTCAGAACGGGCAACCCTCCGCCCAGCATGCTGCACCCAGCGCGGCGGCCTCTTCGGTGTCAAGGGTATTCAAGTTACAATTCGACGCCAGGAGGATTGTATGCTGTTCACAGGACAGTCGGATCGTCGGCTGGGACTTTGCCAACGGGGACGCCGACGTTATCGAGGCGTGTCGCTTTTTCACGGGGCCTTAGCCTCGAGCCTCGCATGTGCCGCGGAACTCGATGAGAGGGGAGAAGAAGAAAAGGGTGGACAGAGCGGATAAGGCCGATAGGAAAGACGAGGTTCCAACGTTGACCATGCACGTTTTAACAATAAGATTTGATCGTGCCCGAGTTTGGTGGATTGCATCGCGAACGTAAGACTAGACGTGCACCTGAACGTGGAATTTAGCCACTGTAGCTGCGGCCGTGGCTCTCGTTGGAGCGATAGTGATAGCCCTTGCAAGTTTCAGCTCGTCCAGACTCGTTTTGTGTGTATAATGATTCATGTGCTGGATTTTGCAAGGCGAGCCGCCGAGCAAAAGATGAGTCGCCACGTACGCTGAGGTACTAAGTAAGTATAATGTAGTTCCTCGGACTGGTAGATTGGTCTATCGTTGTACGCCATACACGGTACGTCGTATAGCCCACTCGATAGCTTCGGTTATATGTACCTATAGTACTTTGTATCCCGCAGCAACTCTGGAGTCCATCAATGTTGGTATTCTAGGCTTATGAGAAGGTAGGTAGCTAGGTGGGTGGTTATCCACCTGTATACCAGATGGTGGATAGTAGCTATGCAGGCATAGAAATAAGACGTATGTACTCCGTACTCGGTCGGGCTGACCACTGAAATTGTACAAGGATATCCATCTGTCTGACGTTTTCCACTAAAGCAATCAAGGAAGACAAAACCGCGGCGTACGGCAATCCTGAGACTCGCACAAACAACGCACGCTCTCAATGTACTTTGTTTGAACTCATGACCGCTTGGCTCGCTGGCTTGTAAGCCTGATAGACGCCTGGTTCCCCTGAGGTTGGCGATTCTGTGGGCTGGTTCAAATTCCGGGTGCCCGCGCTGGATATCTGATGTGGCTCGGGACACCGGACTACACCAAAGCCAAATTTCATGGGTTCTCCTCGGCGCCAGCACCGTCACCGTGGTTCATGTCGCAAAGTTGCAAGCTCTTGTTGATGCACCTCCCATTCAGGTAGCATGCACCTTACCCGCCCCCGGATCCGGCCGCGTGGTCTTCATCTCGTGTTCCATCTTCTGCTCGCGCCGCCTGCGCCACTGCCACTCCCACAGGACGGGGAGGAAACTCCAGAGATCGAATTCCGGCCACAGCACGTCGAGAAAGACAATCTCGGTGTCTTCGTGGCATTGCCAGAGCATGAAATCTGACAGTCTGGACACGCCGGAGGTGCGGATCAAGAGATCGATGGGCGGGCAGGACGAGGTGTACGTGTTGGAGGTGATTGTTTCGGCGGTGATGGAGTCGGGCGGAGGGTAGCGCGGTTTCTGGCTCGTGGAGGACGTGTGAGAGAAGGGTGCCGGTGCGTCGTCATGGTGGAGGGTGGTGGAAGTCGACACAGATTCGGTGTCGTGGTCTGAGGCCAGATCGGGCGAGTATGATGATAAGCTGGTCGTGCTTGACGATGGGGACCGGAAGCCGGGGGGCGAGAGGTGCGTCGTGGTCGAGTGCTGGGAGACCTGTTCCGACCTTATGGCTTGGGCGATTCGGTCCTCGCGGAAGGGGCTCTGTCTGTCCTTCTGGCCGGCTGGATGCTCCTCGGGGAGAGGCCGACTCCATTGCTCCACCACACACTTGACCGCGGTCGTGATCTCCTCTCTTGAGGTGTAAGGGAAACACACATTCAAGACACATTTGCCTTGATTATGGCTCGTCGTTTCGACCGCTTTGTCCACGGCCTCCAGCACATCCGGTTTAATCAATTCCCTCTGTCCCAGGATGCGGATGCGGGCGCCGTACCGGTCGAGCAGGTCCCCGTGCTGAACCAATTGCTTCAGCTTGATCTTGGCCATGGCCATCAATGCGTCCACCTCGTATTTACTGCGCTTGAAGTTTTCAATGCTGAAGGCGTAGATTGTCACGGTGTGGACGCCGGATTTGTAGCACACCTCCAGAATCTTGGCCAGGGCTTCAAAGCCCAAGTTGTGTCCTTCGACGGTCTCGATTCGGTGATTTCGTGCAAAGCGACGGTTGCCATCCATGACAAAGGCGACATGTTTCGGGACGGGTCCCTGGCGCAAGGCCCCGATGAGGAGTTCGCGGAGTTGGTTGAGGGCCCATTCGGCCGGTGGCGAGGAGAGCAGCCATTTCCGCAGGGAGGAGGTGAGTCTGTGGGCGGAACGAGATGCCATGGTGGTAGATTGGCCGCGGTGGGAGAGGGCTGTGGCACAGCACGACTGAGCAATGCTCTGCTGTCCGCTCAATGCATAAGATGCGGTCGCGCTGCGACAGAGCTTACAGCTTTGCGTGGTAACTTCCCGGCAGGGCGAATGGTCAGACACAGGCGGTGACAACGAGCGGCTGGCGAAGCATATGCACACAACAGCTCACAGTCGGACTTGTGTCGAGGTTGAGGTTTACGTGGTCACCCAGTTCGAGGCCCCCGGAGCGACTCTCAGTTCTCAGGTGCAAACTTGGTGACAGCCGGGCGGTGACGTGTAGCGCCCATTGTGATTGGCTGCTTCCCCTGCCAAGAGACTCAGCCTTGGGAGCTGCGACGGCAGCCTTGTTGCCCCGTCTGCTGCTGCGAGTACTCATTATCGTCTCCCGCCAGCGGACGACTGAGGTAAGCTGCCCAAACACGGCGACCCAGGACCCCTGCGGCTTCGCGTTCCCGGAATGGCAGAGCAGATGGAGGAGGATATGATGTCTCCGCGCCCGCATCTGGTTTGAACGTTTACCCGGCCTAGACCTTGTACGCTTCGGCCGTCCTGCGACGTATCCCGGGATATCATCCTCCCCCGTGGAGGTCATCCCAGGGTCATCTGCAAGGGCTCCGATTTCCCCCGCAAACTTACTCCGTACACGAAGATGCACTTCCACGCTACACCAGAATGGTGGACAGCGGATTCTGCATGGTCAGCGCCCAAGGGACGCATGTCTGGGAATAAATCAACAGCATCGGTCTCGTTGTCCGCGAAGAGCACAACTACTCTCCCTCCAGGCCTCTCCACTCCCACTCTAATCACAGAAGAATGAAGCTCCTCTACCCGAACTCCTTGGTATTCGACCCAAGCAGTCTCGAAGGATTCGGCGTCTCGTTGCATCAGTACGATGTCCACAAACCGATTCCCGAAGAGCTCATCGATGCAGAAATCATCGTCACATGGGCCAACACCAACCTCGCCGACGCCGCCAAACGGATGCGTAACCTCCGCTGGATTCAGTCCCTCTTCGCGGGCCCAAACGATGTCCTGGCGGCGGGCTTCTCCCCCGACATCAAGGTGACAGCCGGCACCAATCTACACGATGAGACGGTGACCGAACATGCACTTGCACTCCTCCTCAGTGCCGCCCGCAAGCTGTACGAGATGCGTGACTATCAGAACCAGGGCAAGTGGCCGGGACATCTAGGTGGATTCCTTCCCGATCGACCCAAGGGCTCGTTCACGTCGCTCAAGGGTGCCAACATCCTCATGTGGGGCATGGGCAACATCGGTCGGAAGCTCGCGCCTCACCTGATCGCGTTGGGCGCCAACGTGAGAGGCGTCGGCCTCTTTGAAGAAATCATTGACGGCATCCAAGTACAGACCAACGACGCCCTGCCCAAGCTGCTACCTCAGACCGACGCTCTGATCATGATCCTTCCAGGCTCCAAGGCAACCTTCCATGCTCTCAACGCCGAACGCATGAAGTTGCTGCCGAATCATGCCTGGGTCATCAATGTCGGCCGAGGAACATGCGTGGATGAAGATGCACTCGCCCAAGCACTCCACGCAAGGACACTCGGTGGTGCCGCTTTGGACGTCTTCCACACCGAGCCTCTGCCCGCGTCATCCCCGTTATGGAAAGCGCCAAATCTGATTCTTTCACCGCATGCGGCGGGAGGGAAACCTCGATACTCGGAGGCACTGGTCGCAGAGAACCTGCGACGCTTCCTCGCCGGACAACCTCTCAAGCATGACGTCTCGGCAGGAGGCATGTATGCCGCACCACCCGAAAACAAGCCTGCGCTCAAAGCCTCGCTGTGAGCGGGGGGCTTACTCAGGGAAGAATAAAAGACACTGGGAGTACTCGCGTGAGCAAACACCTTGGACCATCTTCACACCGACCGCTATGGTTAGACAGACAAATGTCAATACTACAGCTACATACCAATGCTGTACGTAACGTGCACCGCAGGAAACAAGTCCTAAACCAAGATACTCGCCCTTTACGTTGAGAAGTGTGTTCTCTTCTGTCCTGCCTTTGTAGGTAATCGTGGTTAAGACTCATGTCGATATCAATTAGCTCCCTTAGCAGGCCGGATATACTACATACACTGTACAGAGGCGCCCACAAGTACATTATAGTGGGCGTCTTGGGTCCGTGCCGCTGCCCGTGCCCCTACCTCCACCTTTGCCCAGTGCTCTCCTTGTCCTACTGTACCCGCACTTCCCGGCACTGCATTTCGCTGTTCGTGCTGTCTCTTTATCACCATCAGCCGTCGATCCCGATCTAGTGGCAAACCCCCCTCCCCCCTGCACATGGCCCCGCCTTTAGTCCTGCGAGTAAAGAAAGTCTGGAATAGTCCAGCGAAGGAAGGTGACGTACCTAGCGATCAGCGTGTTTCTACAGCGTCTCGTCCTGTGCAAAAAGCATCGCTAGACGTGGCACTGAAGTTTACTTATCTACCGTCGGAGGTGGCGGCCTTTTTCGAATAACCCTCCCCGCCCTCCCGCATGTTTAATCATCTTGCTTGCTATTAAGGTGACGGAGTCGCCAGGTGGCAGATCAACGTCGGAACAACTGGTTACACGATATATGTGTTTCGGCCATGGCACTGGACAACACATGGTTGGTCTGCACGGGGGAGACGGTGCTGCGTGTAGCCTCCCACGAGACTTCACGACTGTGTCTTACAATACAGTACAGTATCGAGCGTCCAGTGTCGAGGACTGACAAGGTTTTAAATTACAGGAAGCGTGCGTCTGGAAAGCACATGCAAGGGCAGCCCAGGTCTATGACTCGAGTGCGTCGTGGCAAGCGAAAGATGGGCCTTCACGGAAAGACGAATGCGACGCCAACGTTACGATAGGGAACGGTATTCCTGGATTGAAACAGCATGCCACGCCGTAGCGACGCCAACGTCTCGCAGACGTCCCACGGCGATGACATAAAACCCCGGCCTTCTCTCCAGTAACTAACCTAACTCGCACGTCCTCGACGATCCCTAATACAACAAGGTGTTGATACAGGTCCACTCCGCCTGAGGCCATGGCATTGAAGAATATAAAAACATAGAAGTCTGCCTGCGTTGTCTTGGTCGAACGAAGAAAGGCATTCTCCTCCATAGAAGCTTATGGGGTGGGCGGAACCGGTGCTGTCTATCCCAGCCCGCCTCTTGCTTCTTGTGTAGACCAACGTCTTCCAGCAGTCAGATTGCCCCACAGTGGTGCAATAACAGGTGCCCTGCCTGCGGAGATGTTCAAGCAGTGCCATCTGCGTCAAGGAGGGACAAGGTCTCCAGGTCTTGGCCGATGACAGTCGAACGGGCAACGATTTGGTCTCGGAGGCGAGCTCGGATGAGGGGCAGTGTCTTCTCCCAGGCCGGAGGTACGAGTGACTGGCAACGAGGACTCTGTAGCAAGACCTTGGCCAAGATTGCGAGCGCGAGGAAACTGTCCAAGTTCAAGGTCAGCATTTGGACATGTGGTTGGCAGGAAGAAACGGGGCGGAATGGAAAGACAGGATTGTGCGCGGACAGGAGCTGGACACAACGTACCTTCTCGATGGGACGATGAGCAGCGGCACGAGGCGGAGATTGTCGCATAGCACGCCACTGCACAACAGAGCCTGCAGCGCGGTTTCCAGACCCATCGCCGCGCCGGTTGATTCTTCCTGAGAGAACCCCTCGACGGAGCCATGGTGTAAAATGTGGAAAAGAAACGGCCTGAAGAGGATGGCCTTGGCCTTGAAGTACCCGGCCTGCAACGTTCCGATCATCTGCTCACGCACGCTGCGGTGACGTCGCCAGCTCATGGCCTGGGCCCCAGGGTCGAACTCAAACTCGGCGCGGAATGACAGCGGGAGATGGAGGCGCCAGGATGCCAGCTCGTGGTCGAGTCCACGGATCATCGACAGCGCTGGCGCCGCAAAGGGAGCCGGTGACATGCCGGTGACCGTGCCGTCGAACCGGACGGCGTCACCCACATAATAGCGAACTCTGTTGACTATGCGCCACAACAGAATCTCAGCTAGGAAGATGTCCCAGTATTGCTTTTGGGTCTCGTCCTGTGGCTTGCCGCCTCCTGCAGGCGGGGCCGGGATGATGCTTTCGAATTCCGCGATGCCGGTAGGCGTGAAGTCGAATTCGGAGAGAAGTTGACTCTCTTGCAGGTAGATGGCCCAGTACAGTTGCGCATGCGTGCGTTTCGAGCGCTCGTCCATCCGCAGCAGCATCATCGCAGTCATGGCGGCTTGCGAAACGGCCAGCCATTGGTCGTACACGCGAAGCTTCATCGAATGGTAGAAGGCGATCAAGAGCCAACAGCGGACGCTGGGCCAACTGACGTCCCGGGCTTCGACAAACATTGACGTCGCAATGTTGAAGAACACATCACCAATCTCGTCGAGCGGGTTCAGCCCCGACGGTCCAGCTCCCGGGATATCCCAATAGTTGAAGCCGTCCTCGAACGCCGAGATGGACCCGATGGCCAGCACAAGCAACAGGATACAGGTGTCGACAGTCCGCTCGAATTTCTTGTCCGCCGCTTGAAGGGCGTCCCGCATGTCGGATCCCTGCCAGTCCAGAATCATGTTGCGGGGGTGGAAGTTTTGCATGTAGGACATCGCCAGATGGTGCATGGTGGTGGGCTCCAGGTCGAGCAAGCATGACACATCTGGTGCCATGACCAAAGCCCGTGGTGTCACCGGGGCATATGTCTTACGCGATCGTGTTGCGGCCATGGCAAGCAAGCCCTCCACGCTGAGAGAGGAACCGCCACCTCGCCACAACAGCCCCATGCGGCCATTGCTAGGGGCCGGCTGCGGCTGCAGAGCTATTCTGTCTGCCAGGTGATTCAACATGGCCTCAAGACGCTGAAGCCGCTCAGGTATGTTTTCTCGTCGATCATGTTCCCTGACAGATGCATCGGGGAGACGACGGTGTTCGCAGCAACCATCTACTGGCTTTTCGTCCTCAGCGTCCGGGTTGCCTTGGCCAACCGGTGACGCAGGGCTCCTTTGTCTTAGGTCTTTTGGCTGGTCCGTGGAACAGATGGAGGGGAGATCCGATGTGACGTGGCCATTGAGGGACTCGGTGGCAGCCGGTGACTGACCTTCAGAGGACGTCGTTGCTTGACTTTCAGCGGGATTCATGACTGCTCAATAGCATACGGAGGAATGAGCCACGGGCAAGGGGAGTGCAAGGAGGTTGTAGAGGCAGAGCTTTCTGGGGAGGCGATGAGAGATGAGCAGATGTGAAGTGCTGTTGTACCCCTCGGGTGCTTAGTGACTGCTAAGAAGAAGACTGGCCTACCTCGTGTTGGCAGGGCCATCCAACCACACCGAACTGGCTACTGTACACTGCACAGCAGCTCCAACGATCCGATGTTTGGTGGTGGTTGCCATTGCATTCCTCGAGATCGCTGACTGGTTGCACAGCTCCCGGGGAAGTGCTGTCTGGCCCCACTGATGCAGATACGATCACAGTGGCGTCTCCAATCCAGTGTTAGCCATCCCCTTGCATCCATCCGCTGCAAGGGAGCGAGATTGGCGAATGTCGCTATCCTCGCTGTGGAGTTAGAGTTCAGTGTTCGGTTGTCGCGGCGGGCCGAAAGCCTGAGGGGAGTCCGAGTCGAGGTCTGCCAGGAGACTAGGAAGACAATAGCCTGGAGTGGCTGCTGCACAGTACGAGGACAGAAGCGATCAGGGCGCAAAGAGAGTTTACGGAGAGTTTCACGTAAGTAATGTGAAAGTGAGCATTGACCACCAACCCCTCTTCTAGCGCCGTCCGTTGGTTGGGGAGCTGGGAGTCAGCAAGAAGTGACGACATGTGATTGAACAATCACTCACTCGGTGCTCACTGCCTGTTTACCACCTCCTCACCACCGGCTCACCACATGCTCACCACATGCTCACACCCGGCTCACTCACTTCTGCTTTGCGCGGTTAAGGGTATTCGGAATGGCTTCCTCGGATTCCCATGCCACACAAACTCGGCCCAGCAACAATCTCATCCTCCAGCGGATGCAAACTCTATGCGTTGCGCCATGCCTGTGAACGCAGTCACCTAGATGTGCTCGTGCCCGTACATGAATCGTGTTCCCTGCAGCCGCTGCTCGTAGGGATGAGGCTATGAATGTTCAGGTTGGTTTCGTGTTCGCTCGATCAGGATGTCCCTATGTCCAAGCTGCATCATGATTCATACTGTGTATGAGACGACATGTACGTAAAACAGCTTTCCCTCCACGGCACAAAGATCCGAACGAGGCGCCCTGGCCCATCACTTCTCCCTTGCATGGGAGTATCGACTTTTGGAGGGGCGACATGCGCCAACCTGCGCTAAAGCCTCAAGGCCGCCACGGCCCAGCCTCATCCGTTCCCCGCCACCCCGCACCTGCATCTCGGCCAGTCAGAGGGACCGAACGCGCAGTCTCGTCGTCATCACCCAAGCTTCACATCTCCTTTCACTTTATCTGATCCCTGTATAAGTACCCGTCCTCGGAAGCCAAAACTCAAAAATGTCGATGGTCACTCCAAGGTGCCTCCTGAACAGGGTTCTCCAGGTAGGAGTCTTGGTGAACGTCCACCAACAGATGTTGACCGGCGACCAACAACTTGACTTGTCACATTTGGGGAGCCTGCCATCGCGCAGGATACAGCCAGTTTGGACGTCTAGCTGTCGTTGAATACGGGAGGGTTGGTCGTGCATGGTTCAAGCATGGACGTTACCCTGCACTCGCAGGCCTGCTCGAGGTGAGACACGGCCGCCTGAGCCTCTCGTTGGCTTTTGATGACATACTGGAGCGCACACCCAGCCCAGAGCAGAGGTGCCAGGTCTCTAGGGCACTAGGAGGCACTCGAAGGCGTGGAGCTGATCACTCTAAACGACGACTCCGAATGACCATGTGCATGGACCGCCGGACTAGCTGCAGATATCTGTGTGATCGCCTCTCCTGTTCGGCTGATCATCTCCGGAGATGCCTAATTTTCACAGAGGCTCTGACTTTCTCCCAAGCGGACTGCATCAACCCGGCAAGTTCCTTCACACTGGAATTAGTGCGGAAGAAGTCAAGTGAGGCTTCAACACTGCAAGGTTGTGCTTTGCCACTGGCATGAGCAGATGCGTGTTCGTCAAAACGCCAGACGCCAGGACCTTTAGCCACCCAAACAACCAAACATGCGTCCCGTTCCGGAGTCGAGGGCGCTCGTTTCATTGGAGCTAACATACAGATTCATCGTAATACTCTTTGATGGAGCAAATCCAAGCGCCTGCGGTAGTAGACCGAGGCGATATAGCAGGCGCCTCGGATCACCTCCATCGCCCTTGTCTCGAACCACATGGCGCACAGATGCTTGGCTTTCTCGAGTCCCCAGCACTCGACATCCTCCTTGCGAGGCTCGAACCCGTCGTACGCCAGATCCAGATGGAAGCGCCGGCGTGCCTCGTAGAGCCTGCGACATAACACCGGGACGTATGTTTTCAGGACAAGCACTTCCCACGAACCGTCGTTCAACTGACGCACTTCGGGCACCTCGGCTCTCTCAACGTGGTCGAGCACCCCAAGCCTTGACGGTACGTGGTCTGAGAGAGAGAGCTTCACCAGCATATAGGCATCGCAGATGGTATCGTTCAACGCGTGACTGGGAGAGTTAGAAATGCATGGCTTTGTGAAGGCCTGGACCTACCGCAGCGCAGGAGACAACTGACCTTGGTCGGTCAGCCAAACTGGAGTCAGAACGTCTCCCTTGAGGATATCGACCAAGTAGGTCTCGGCATCGACCGTGACTTTGACGGCTCGGGCATGCTTGTCGTTGTCGATCGCTGATTCGCAGCCATCACCGTCGCACGATGTCGCGCTGAGAACCGGCAGCGCATCGTTGTCGGTGCCGCTCTGGGAAGATGGCTCTGCTCGAGTCTCCCCAAGATATTCGCCTTCCGTAGGCCAAGTAAAGGTCAGTTGGCCCGCGGGGAAACCGTAGGCGTATGTGAATTCCATCTGATCAGGACAAGGTGAGGGGGGAGGTGCAGGGGGAAATTGGTCGTCCTGCCATAGAAGAATGTGGTCCATTGCGCCGTTGTGCTGAGATGCTTGCAGAGGTGTGCCCAAGAATTTTGCGCTGTGTGACTCGAGGCAATCGGGCCATTAGTACTTTCCTCGAGAGCCAACCCAAGTGCATCGAAGGACATGATGCACGGGCCAAATCCCGAAGTGATGGGAGGTGTCAAGCCCGCAAAAGCTGAAGGCAGATGACGCTTGCTGCAATTGGCAAAGGCCCCGGTCAATCATTGATCGATCCACTTCTCCCGCATCTGAGCCGAAGACGATACCCCCCGTACTTTGCGAAACTTCGGTTCGGTTCGGTCGCGCTTCCGCCAGCAGCCTTCCACCCACGACGGCGCTAGCAGATATGAGCGACTCATTCCTCCAGTCCCCCCTGCACCTAGCAAGGGTGTGTTGTTCAATTCAGCCGTGTCGAGATCCCCGGCGCCAGATCGGCGACAGCCATCGACAGGATCGAGCAGAGTCCCGTCCATGCCTGATTGTAGCTCGTGGACGCAGAACGTGGGCTATGTCTTGCTGGTTGTCGAAGGCTTCATGCTGGTATACGGCACTTTTTTCCGGCCTGCCTGCCATTCCACCTCCTCACGGTTCACAGTTCCAGACGCTCAATTCGACCGGGATCGGGTTGCACTTGTTCCGGCAGTGTCCTTCGTTTGACGAATCCCTCGATCCGTGTCCGAATCGTCAGGAGAAAGTTTAGTGAATCTTCATCCTGTCACGGCACGGTGGGGCGTCTTCTGATGCGGACTTCCTGCTCCTTTGATCGTTCTGAGTCCGTGAAGCCACAACACCTTCAAGTGTGCCGGGATGTGCGGGAAGTCAGGCTGGCAGTGAGGCGGCATCGTGCCCCTGGATTAGGATTTCGAGCCTTAAAGCTACTCCGTACTGGTAACGAATGTCAGAGTCATTGCTGCGGGGTTGGAGCCGTCAGAGCTTCTACTGTGCAGCACTCTGCAGTCCGAGTAGAGCAGCGTGTCAGGATGTTCTGATCGGTCGCCCAGCCCCGCGCCAAGCCCGACAATCCCACATTCTCTCGTTATCGATCTCGAGCATCACGATCGCCCACTCTCCACACTACGAGTAGCTTTGGTGTCCTTTGTGCTCCCTGAATTCAAGGTTGGCGGACTTGCAGTGACTGGGTCGAAATAGTCCGCTCCAACCTTAATTCTGGCCGAACCCAATAGCGCCCTTTGCATTTGAGCTCTGGTTTTAGGATCTACTGGGGTGGCTGCATCAGCGCCAGGTCTAGGAATAACTTGATGGCCCTGAGATCGTTAGAACTGTCCGGTTGAGGCGACTCGGACGAGACTACGAGTATGCTTGTATCTATACGACTGATGCACCACCGATTAGGGTGGTGTGAAGTGGTCAAGCCTGGATTCTAGCCGGCGGTCCCTAAACAGCTTGGCTTCAAATGGCTTTTTCTGGGATACACGAGGGATACGGCTCTGCGGTGTGGTTCACAACAGGTGTAGCCTTGCGCGCCGTGCGAGACTTGCACGACCAGTCTGCAGGAAAGACATCTCCTGAAGAATATCTTCGTGGCTCAATCCAGGATCTATCTGAGACAGGCAGTCGATGCATCGGAAGTGGGTCAGACAGAGGCCACGACTACATCTGTCATTTTACGGTCTTTCCCCCGGATTCGGTGACATGCAGGCCTCCGGGGGGTGTGGGACGATTGACAGCAGTCATTCGACGCCTCCCACACACACGCCGCTTCCGAAGATGCTTCCGAAAGGGAACAAGAAATTAGGACCAGCAGAAGCAATCGTGCAGCGGTACAGGTAGGGGTGGCTGCAGCAGAGCCCACCTCTTCGCCATTTGGCGGAAGGGGGACCTTGGTCTGTTTTGTTGCTTCCTCTATTGCAGCAGGCTCATTTGTCCCCGGCCCGGCACGTTAGTGTGAGGCAAGGGGGTGGACGAATCGAACGAGTCTAACTATTTGACTGCATTCTTTCAGAAGAGAGCTGGACCGAGCTTCCCCTACGGCGCCTTTCACCCTGAAAGTCGACTTGGACAGCCCTTGCACTGCGGCCAGCCCACACCCTCCCTCGCCCTTTGAGACAACCATATCGACATGGATCCCGAGAATCGACATTCGCCGGATCAACAAGCCTCCTCCCACCAGCCCTGATGAAGCCTCCGCAGTTGGGCAACAGCGCACACTGGGCGACGAAGGCCGTTGCCATATGAAAGAGATTGGAACACTTGAGACATGATCCCCTGGTGGTCACAGCATTGAAGGATGGCTTTAAAAGGGCACAAAGCATGTCCCAGCAGCGGACACTTGCTGCCATTCGCCGATCTCATTCCCGGTGTGGTCTCGGCGTCACCATATTCCCATCCCTACGTCGAATTCACCGGCAGCCTCGTCGACGTCATGAAGAGATACCCCCATCTGATCAGAAAATCGTACGGCGACACGATATCGGAGAGGTGCTTCACCGGCGCGCCTTGGTCGGTGTTGCGGATCCTCCGCATCATCGGCATGGACAGTGATGATGACGAGGAAATCTGTGCCGCAGCAGAAGCATCGAAGCAGGTCGTGGCCATCATCCTGGCCTCACTCTCCAGCATCGACCGCTCGTGGAGACTGTGTCGTCGCCTCTGTCCGTGTCGGAGGGACATATCCCTGGGACGGATCGCTTTGCGACTAGGACGGGCGTTTTGGGTGCCTCTCACTGGCGGGCAATATGCTCGCAGGGGTTCGCTCGAGCTCGCACGTCTACGGACGTTCTTCCTGTCGACCGAGAGGGCCCATGTGCTCTACCTCGAGTTTGAAGCCACGTCCAAAAGGGCGGAACAGAAGGAGCCGGGCGGCCAAATCCCCAAGATCGTGGTGGAGTTGTATCGCGTGTCGGTTTCCATTGAGGAGGATATCAGGGCCAAAGGAATTGTCATTGCCCTGAATGAAGATAATGAATGGTCATCGTCCGGTGATGAATGATTGTCCGGTCGCAGAATCATGTCCTTGGAGGGCAATGCAGCTGCGAGAACCTCGCTTTGAGGAATCGCTCGCGGCCAGAGCGACATGGGACGGAAAACAGCTGAATGTGTCCCCTTCCGACGTCAACCCGCCTGACCCATCCATGAGACGATCATCCGGGAGCTTGCTTGGGGACTCGTGCCCGGCGGAAAGGGGCTCCAGCCACGTCGAGACAATAGGTAATAGATGTTTGAGTTTCGACACCTGATAACCACATCGACGTTCACTTCAGCTCCACTTGACTCCGCAATGGACCAGCTAGTTGACATTCTGAACCGCGTTGAGTAGCTCTTGACACTTACTCACAATGTTGTGCACCTCTTTACAACCTCGACTTGCTCCGTTGTGCCACCTGTTGACACCCACCAGCGCTGTTGTGCCACTCTTGACATTCGCACTCGTACAGTCTTATACCACTTCGTGTAGTGCTATCACCTTCGACGGGACGTGCGGCAACTTTGGGGTGGCTACTTGAGAAACCGGCGCGCGGCAACAGCGCCATCACGGCAGAGTTCCAAGCGAGTGCGTTGGTCGGTAACGGAACGTCTCGCACCTAACATTCGTCAGAGAATGATAGAGGGTCGTCTCAGGTCAAGACATTGTGTCTCGAAGGGTCAGGTATTCAACTGCGGCGTCATGTACGGAGTAATCAGCCTAGTACTCACTAGGTACGTAGGGAGTGCTCGATACGTGGGACCTCCATCTGCAGTCAGCGAGGTTCTGTACCTGTCGCCATGCCCTGGGCTCGTGGGGCGATTCCGCACCCTGCACGAGGCCAAGTGACATGCGGCGCCTTGTGTTTAATAGAACGGGAGAGCATGGTTGATCTGATGTGGTGTGGCCGTACAATGTACCCGAGTACCGCTGGTTCGCCATGGACAAGGGAACGACAGCAGAAGGCACAGAAGTTCGGTAGGTACTGCACAAGAAGCTGGGCAATTTCGACCCCGATTCCACAACCACTCGAATGATACTCGTACGGAGGACGTGACCGCCCTGTCCGAGCTACATACCACCTGCTACCGCCTAGCCTACATTGCCGTGCAGTTCAGCTTTGGATTTAATCAGATGTATGGGAGCTGATTATGTGCCTCTCGTCGCAACGCAGGAGCCATCCGTGCCCTCACTGGAACATCAAGGAGGAGTCGACTTGGGCGTGCGAGCCACCAGGGGAATTGCTTAATTACAGTCCGCAGGGTCGAGTACAGCACAGGACAACACAGCACAGCACAGCCCAGCCAGATGGGGGCTACAGTACTGTACCTCATCAGAACCCCGGCGTTGACAATTCCGATATTCGCTCCATCTGACAATCTAATCTACAGCAAGGACATTCGACGACCAGTCTTGTGTCGCGATGCCATCGAGGTCGACCGCCTGCCATGTTCTATCCTATTTGCCGCGCAAGATGCTGAGCGCGGGAATGTCTCGGAGATGAATCACGACGCACGCCTTGAGATTCACGCTAAGCATTCTTCACGCGTGCTACGAGGTACTCCTCGTCTTCGCGTACGGACACCCTGTCCGTAGCGCGGGGTGGCGAGAATTCCCCGGATGTACCCCAGGGATCGAGACGCGGCGCGGAGGCCCTCCGTGACCTGCGGGAGCCAAGCACGACGCTCACGTCGATATCCAAATCAGGGTACATTGCTTATCGCAATGGAGCTTGTGGACCCGCGCAAGTACTGGTATTGTCACCCTGGTAGGGTTCTGTAGGATGGTGTGCCCCGACCGACAATCATGCAATCGGTGTCGAAGGAGCTCCAACCTCTCTGCCTGACACCAGCTAATCAGGCGATTAGTTGTTGAAGATGCGGAAGAAAAGGACTGTCTCGCCATCCACCTGTGCCCGCTTGGTATAGTGGTCGTCTCAAGGGAAATCTTCACCGCTCGTCGTGTCGGGACCAGCGAAGAGCACGGCATTTCCTCCTTCAACGTCTGGCTCCTCTAGTGCCCTGCAGAGGACTTCTCAGCTCAGTGGATACCTTCGCTGACATACCGTAACCCCCAGCTTGTCGAGCCCGGGCAGCTCACGCAGGAACTGCTTCCCATTTGACACGGTTTTCGTTGCTCCTCATTTGTTCCGAGTCAATCCGACTTCAGATCTCGAGTTCTCGTCTCGTTCGTCCCGGGGAGATTTACATGGGAGACTGTACAAATGATCTCCAACATGGGTTGTCTCAAGCGGCAGAACCTTTAACCCCGGGGTCAGACCGCGCGCTGATCAGGCCGAGAACGTGATTGGTGGTGAAGCAACTCCTGAGAACTCCGGACGGCGTATTCTCCCGAGAAGATGCCATAGCTGCAGGCGTGAAGCGTACGGAACGCGTTTCTGATGGGAGCTGATGCCAGCCTGATACAGCAGGATCGAGAGGCGGAGCAGAGGCCTGTTGATGTGGTGTCACCGCCCGCGATGTCTCTGGCCATATCTTCTTGGAGTTCTCCTATCGTGGTGCTGAACCCAGTGTGATATAGCCCTGAAGTCCTCACGGTCGAGTTTGATTTGAGCACAGTTTTCTATAGACAGTCAGCAACATGTCTTCCCAAGTTCGAACCAGCCCAATTCTCCTTGCCCCGGGACCGACTGAGGTCGACCCAGCTGTTCTGAGAGCCATGTCCTCCTGGGCAGAGTCGCATTTTGCTCAGCCCTTCTGCAACACATTTGGCGATGTTTTGACAATGACCCGCAAGCTCTTCCAGAGTCAAGATCCCAACGCTCAACCCTTCGTCCTCGGAGGCAGCGGAACTCTGGGCTGGGACTTTGTGGCCACCAACTTCATCGAGCCCGGAGAGCCGGTACTGTGTCTCAGCACCGGGTACTTCTCCGATGCCTTTGAGCAGTGTCTCTCCACGTATGGAGCCCGTACGAAGAAGATGACGGTCCCCATCGGCGGGGCTCCCGACATTCGAGACGTTGAGAAAGAGCTGCGGAAGACCCGGTACAAAGCTCTGGTCGTGGTGCATGTCGACACGTCGACGGCCGTTCTCATGCCGTTGAAACCCCTTTCGGATCTGCTCAGACGAGTATCGCCCGAAACACTGCTGATCGTCGACGGCGTTGCCAGCGTCGGCGCCGAAGACCTGCAGTTCGACAAATGGCACATCGATGTCGTGGCCACCGGGTCACAAAAGGCCATCGGCTGTCCACCTGGCCTTGCCATCATCATGGCATCCGCCCGCGCCATTGAGGTGGCCACCACAAGGAAAGCACCGCCGACTTCGTGGTACGCCAGTCTCCCCAGGTGGTTGCCCATCATGCAGAACTACGAGAAGAAACAGTCGAGCTATTTCGCAACCCCGCCCACCCAGCTTGTCCATGCAATGCACGCCACCCTGACGTCGATCCTCTCCCGTCCGCTGCCTGAGAGATTTGAGCAGCACCGGCGGAAAAGCGCTCAAGTCAAAGCTGTGGTGCAGGAGCTCGGCTTAACCCAGCTGGCCAGACAGCCAGAGCACCAAGCCAACGGCCTCACGGCGTTTTGGCTTCCCCAGGGTTTGTCATCCAAAGAGTTGTTGTCCAGGGTCACGGAAAAGGGCTTCACCATTGTGGGCGGAATGCATAAAGAAGTCGGCCATCGTTATGTGAGGGTTGGGCACATGGGCTATAGCGTCGTGGGCGAGCCGGAGAGGCACATTGACCGTGGCTGCCAGGCGCTGAGAGAAGCAGTTCTGGAATACTATGCAAGCAAGAGTGATAGTTCTGTCCCGCGGCAGAGTGCTGACTTCACCGAGCCAGCACGCGCAAACCTGTGAGGTGTTCTCGTTTTCTGGCAGAGGCAGAGGGCATGCTATCGCAAGCGGATGTCAATTGATATGGGGAGGTTAGTGGGAGCTTGTGTTTCACTTTCTCATGGAGCCGTGCAACGTGAATGGGAAAGGAGGGAAAACGTCGCAGTTACAGTGAACGATCGGTGACTCTTCGGGACTTGCGGCGGGGCGTCTAGTTACCTCGGTTGATGCCTAATACAGTAAGTGGCGGCCCGATGCCACACAGTCAGTACACAGTAGCCAGCTCTGGGGTACAAAGTCCACCCTTGGAAAGTACATGTTTATCTATGGCTTACTGCCACTCATTCTAAGACCTACAGGGCGTCATGACGCGCGTAGTCTTTCGCAGCAGTCAGCAGCACCAGGGGTCGGCTTCGTGGTTGGAATCGTGCCGATGTGGGTGTGGTCGTCGAAGTGGCTGTCGGCGCCGCGGTGGTGGTTACTATGTACAGTATCGACATTGAACTTGTGCTTGAACGAAGACGTCGTGGAACGGGCCAGCGAAGATGTTGCGGTGATGGTGTGAGTAGTCGAAGTTGTTGAGGTTCAAGTTGTTGATTGAGTGGATGTTGTACTTGGGGATGTGGTAGATGTCTGTCCTTGTAGCGTGGCCGCTCCAGCTGGAGAGGAAGTTCGAGATACTGCTCGATCAAGCCCAATCGAACCATTGATTTAGTCCGCTGCACTCGAAAGTTCTCATCAAGCCATTGATCGCGCAGGCGGCCACATAGTAGATACATACTGTATTGCAATGTCTGGATAATCGTGACAACTTCGTCACCGGCCACAGATTTCCGGGCGTCACCGGACGTGGCTTCAATCCCCCAAAATTAGAAAGTTGAATTTCCGCCATTTGTTCGAAAGCTGAGGAGCATTCCCCCTTCTCGCAGGGTTATTTAGATTGCTAAATCTGATTTGGCCCAACTCGTTCTGAAGAGTGAGAAGAGACAAGGCCGAGCGAAATTGCAAATACAATCTAACCCGCTTGATCGAGTCTTGTCGTACTGTCTGAGAGCGAAGTCTTAAGTCTTACCCAGAATATTACAGTGTTAGGTCGCATGGCCTTTTTGTGCAGCCATTATGTCGACCTGCGATGCTCCTACAGAAAGGAACCTCAGGCGACGTGTGATAATGAGACAGAGGCCACTATCACCTGCAGGCGAGATGACCAGGTGTGGGTCTCAAATTAAGCT